TTAATAATCCTCCCAAATTTCCCAAATTTAATCTTAAAAAACTGTAATAAACTTATTGCGAAAAATAGTGCCTCGGCTCTCTGGGAGTCGAATCCGGATCTCTAATTAATTATTACTCTCAATAATTTGTCGAAGAATATCATTCTATCGTTTCTTGATGGTTGTGCACGCAAAAAATGCTGATTTCTGCGTTACGTATTACAATCACCTTGACTATACACTTAGAAAAAAATATATAAAGCATATATTAAAAGAGATGGATTATCTACGGATTAAACTTTGTAGATAAAAACAGATGCGTCGTAAGAGAAAGAGAGAGAAAAAGATGTTGCATATTACATAATTTGGAATGGGCCTGATCGTGAAGGTCGCGTGATGAACGCGTAAGGAATAACGACAAATTGATGAATGTAAAACGCGGGAGCATCGTGAGAGCAAAAGGCAAATTATCTACATTATACGCGATGGTCTTACCCAACCAACCATCTGCACGATGGGCCATGGCCGCAAAATTCAAGGGCCATGGAAAGTAGACGCGAGTATGAAACGTGTGTAGATATGTAGAAACGTTATGAAACGGATCAATATATACATGCATTCCAACGTAATATTTTCCTCAATTTTCCGTATTAATATACAATATTAATCAATTACAGTCATACGATTCTTACGAAATATTCTTATACATGATTTTAATAATTTATATCTATATTTAGTATTCGCGTCAAATCGTTTTGACGTGAATCGTGACGCGGAATATTTCCATATTAGAACTTGGAACGAGTGTAACTCTTACAATTAATGTAACAATATTATACAAATGTAATTGTTGCGATAATTATTTGTTCCAAGCTCTAATGTATGGAAGACATTTTTTTTCATCTTGTTATTCTCTTATATATTGAAATATTTAATATATTACTTATATCATTAACACGTTTTGTGCCAGGCCAATTTTTAATAACTTGACAATCTGCACGCCGCGTGGGTTACCCGTGATGATCTACAATATTTCTGTTTGCGTTAGTTGTATTTATTAAATAAACGCGTATTATATTTTATAATGATTAAAAAGATTACAAAAATTATTATTATAAAGAAAGTCTAATGTACTAATTACATCATATATTATAATTATTATCCACGCACGTGTGACAACAAAAATTATTTTATAATTGTATTTCTTTTTGTACTCGAAATATCAAACTATCTGTGTTTGTATTATGTAACTCTCTTATCGACAGTATCAATATTATTATATTGTCATTGTGTAAATTATACAGGTATATAATAAAAAAACTGCAACAACAATATAACAATAACAAACTGTTGTTAAGTCTAAAACCTGAAACACGATTAAAAAACACAAGCAATAGGAATAACAGGGAATAATAAATTTTAATCAGAACTAAAAAACAGTTTTTGATAAGTTGAAACTTGTGATTTTCTATTGTGTAATAAAATTTTAAATATTTGATAATATTTACAATTTTATTACATTATTTGATATAATTATTATTTCTAATGATTTTTTTTTTATAAGATTCCTTATCAAAGACATATCATCGTCATCGCTTCGCTGAACTAATTTTCGCAAAATTAATTTTAATCACACCTATTTGTAATCAAATTTAAACTATTCTGTGCTTTTTTATTATGCATTAAATTTTAGAGTTACAGAATACAGCACAGAATACAGAGTACTGCACTAAACGGAAAGTTCAGCATATATCACTGATAAATGGCACGAAACATGTTAATTTAATATATTACTTTATCTGCGCACGCATTTTGATAAGATGCGTTATAAAATGAAAATTTTTTCACTCTAAAACGTTATTTAATCATATCTTTAATGAAGATAATACGTTAACAGTAAAAAGAAACAAAGAATAAAATAAAAAAATTTCAAGAAATTATAGATTACTATAAAAATCCTAATATTAGATTAATATAAAATTATAGGCTTTTTACAATAAGCCATGAGTCATAAATCAGAAGTCAGAAGCTAAAAATTGATCAATCACTGTCAATCAATTTTCAGTTTCTGACTTCTAATTTATGACTAATGGCTTATTGTAGAAGACCCATTATATGTATGCCACGGAAAAAAACAGCTAAAAACTACATTGATTCAGCAAATCTACAGTTGTAATGTACAAACAGTCAATTTTGTATGTTAAAATAGCAAAATTGACAGCTGAATAACATTAGCAATTTGTTAACCTATCAAATTTTCTTAAATAGTTATAGATATTGAATTCGCGCAATAAGTTATATAGGTTTGCTGTACCACCTAATTAATTTTTTTCCTTGTGTGTATATATATAACAATGTAATATTTTCCAAGAATATGTATGTTTGAACAATATTGACAATTTTACTGCGATAATATATATAATCCTTATCAAAGACGTATCATCGTCATATATCACTTCGATATAATATTCATTGCAAAGCTAATTTTAATCATATATTTAATTATATATAGTCAAGTTTATCATATTTATCTATATAGGTTTAAACTATTCAGTTTAGAATTTGTTGCGTTAGAATCATTTTTTGCAAATTTAATCTCATCTGCAATGATACATATATCTACATATACCGCATATCTCGATGAACTAAGAGAAAGTCCAATCCGGATTGAGTGTACTTCGGCAGCAACGTAATGTTGACGAAAGTAAAATGTGCGAAACGTAACATAATAAAATACAAGGACAGAAAGAAGCGTTCCTCCTGAGTCCTGACACAATATAAGCACAATTATAAGCAACTCACTTGATCGCGTCACACCATATAATTCTTCTTTCTTCATAGAAATAAATTTTTTTCTTCGCACATCAGGTTATCGCGAGTGACGACCACCTTAACCGAGTTCAAACGTATTTATGAAGAACAATGTCTAGCCAAAACAGATAACAGATAATATTGGTTTCCTGTCCCCTTATAATATATCGAGGCAATATTGACACAAATAAAATATACAATAGAACTTCACATGCGATCAAGATAACATACATATAAAAAAAATTTATACATATAAAATTTTTTATTAAAATATTTGTTATAATAATATATTTAATTTGTATAAATCTTTAAAAAATATTCTTTAAATACTTTTTTCAACCGTCAGTGATTTTTATAAAATTGAAGTCAAAGAAAGTTTTGAAAAATTTTGAAAAAATGTACGAATCAGACACATTATAATAAACATTTTTTCCCTTTTGACTTTTTTCCGTAAATTTTTTAATTTTAAAGTTAAAAAATATTTTAGATAAAGTAAGTTTTTACACAATAAAAAATTCGATATCTGTGAAAAATTATTATAACAATTCTTTTTAAAGAGCATTTTAAAGCTTAGAAAGTCTAGTTTAAAATGCTTATTTGATTATTTTGTCCGATGAGGTCTCATCTATACATTTTAATTAGAAAATAAAAAAATAAAAATATAAAAAATATCCATTTTTAATTTAGAAACAAAATATTGTAAGGTCAACATTCAAACATCAGTTTGAAGCTCTATTTTTCCTCTTTAAAATATATTTCTTTTATTTTTTTACGATTTTTTTTTTTTACTAAAACTTAAGTTTTTGTAAAATACAAACTGATGCAAACGTTCTTGAATTTATGAACGGTACTGATGTATATACTCTGATTCTTTTATATGTATATGTCTGATTTATATATTTTATGTTTTGTACGTTATTTTTTTACCTTTTCCTCGTTCTTATTTGTGCTGCAGTTAAATCCTCGCGTATATTCGATAAGAATACAAATTTGTTCGATGTGTAATATATACATATAATGAGAAATAATGAATTTTTGATAACATGCTGAAATAGGTATGATGTTAACACAGTCCTAGAAAGTTATTTTTTTTTATTTCCTTCTTTTCCTTGAAATGATATTTAATTAAAATATTTATTCAATATCACTAAGTATATTGCATTTTTTATTAGCTAACACTTTTCTTTTTGGTCTTTAAAGTCTATTCTGCAATGTGCTTTTTGTTTCTTGCTTTTTACTATTTTTTGCATCTTGTTTTCTTGCTTCTAGTTTTTTGTTTTATGTCGCCCGAGATAAAAAATTAACGAACTTCGAAAGAAACAAGAAATACGTAGCAAGAACTATAATTGTTAATAAAACGGTTGTAAAGAAGAAAAAAACAAAAGCAAGAAACAGAAAACAAGTAGAATAGGCTTAATAATAAATTAAGAAAGAAAAAAAAACAAAATTGAGGTAGATACGCGTAAGAAAATTCTATTCTAAATGCATGTTTCAATAGGTGTGCTTGAGTTGTTTAAAATCCTCAAAATTTATTGCACTAACACTAAAAGTATTGACAATTTATTTCTACTTATTTCTACCGAAATGGTCTTTAAGTAAAAATTATATTTTTTACAACTGCAGGTCAGTTTGTTATGGCCAATAATAAACAAAAATAACTTTTATATATAATAATAAAAAACATTTTTTTTAAATTTGAATTATAAACAAGAACAGAAAATGAAAAATAAATCATAGTTGTGCAGCTATAACTAAAATATAAAATTTAAAAACGATTATTTGACCAGTCGTGATAGATTTAGTGTTAAAATAAGATAAATATATACTCGAGTATTAAAAAAAGAAAGCAAAGATACTGAATATAAAAACAAACAACGCAAACAAACCTTATTTTGTATATAAATTCGAAAAGATTCGAAAACGAGAAAAAAATATCCTAACTACCTTTATTTAGTGACAAGTCGACATAAATATTATAATTTTAACTTTTTGTATTCTATGAGTAACAAAGGCAGAACGGTACTTGTGTCGCTAAATAAAAAGTACCCTCGTAATTATCCGACTTGACGTCAATCGTATGGCATAAATGACCAGTGACGTCAATGCGCGTCGCGCCAAAAAGAGACTCGATGCGCCCTCTATGGGAACGCGGCGGAAGCATAGAACTCGCCGACGAAATATGGCGTATGTTTTGTTTGTGTGCGCGAGGAGGATGGTTACGCGCGGAGCGTACGGCGGCGGTTGCAAGGTTTAGGGTTTGATATTTCGCGGCCGCGAAAGGGTGAGAGAGAAGCGAGGGATCGCATGAATCCGGACGCGAAGCGGCGCGCGACGCGATGAACGCGACGAGCCTGTATGTGTCGACGTGTCGACTGGTGCTGCAGGCGGATGCCGAGGATCCCAACTCCTGGACGGATCTCTACAGATTGGTACCGTATCTGCGGCAGAGCCTCAGTTGTACCGTCTGCTCGAATCTGCTGATCGAACCACACACGCCGACCGAGACCAACTGCCAGCATCATGTATGCCGTGGCTGTCGCGGTGGCCGCAAGAAGCTGAAGCCGTCATGTGGCTGGTGCAAGGACTATGACAAATACATAGAGAATGTGCAACTGCGGATATTATTGCAGTGCTATAAGAAGCTGTGCGAGTATCTAACCAGTACCGGGATTTACCGTACTCTGTTGCTCACTGTCACGTCCGCGAACAATGCTACCACCAATGGCGCACCACCCACTATTGATGCTACCGTCAATCTCATGGAGATTATCCAGGAAGGTGCGGGCTTCAAAGATGAGTTCAAGAGCAATGCCGGTCTGTCTAAATCTGCATATAGTATCCTACCGTGCGTTTATACCAGTACTACCTCTACTCAGACACAGGCGAATAACATCCAAACCACTGAAGCAATATCCCAGAATATACCTGGTATGCACAACAAAAGCTATTCCCTCTAAACGAGTATTATTACTAGATCTTGCAAATATCCAAATACAGTCATGTTAGTGATAAATTATAATTCATAATAATGCAAACATTATTTATTAAACAAGTGATGAATAATTTCTATTATCTTTGCTGTAAAATTAGAATCGCCAACAATTCGTACAGTATCGAATGGATCCTCCATATATTCTGTGATGTACGCTGGATCTGGTAACAAAATTACTATAAAACGGAAAGCGGCAGCTACAGAGGACACAGAAAAAACAGGACAACAGGATACAGATGGAAATCAGCACGGCACTGTAGGAGGGGTAAAATGCATTCCGTCTTCCCACCTTAAATATGGGACCCCTTCTGAGAAAAAATCTTCAAAGAGCAGCAAAGTAATTTCAATAGATATTCGGTTAATGTTACACCTTACAGGATTTATATTGCACTATAATCTTTATTTAAACGCTTAAAGATGTTCGTCCTTCGTTAACACTTCTTGTAAGGTATAATAATTTTTCTGACTTACATCTATTAACAATTATGATTGAGCTTAATTAACCTATGCATATTTATTGCTCTTATTTTTATGCTAATAATACTAGTTTTATAGAAATCTTTACTTATGTTCACCTAGGTCCCATAAAAAAAGATTAATGCAGATGTGTTTTGTTTGTCCTTAAAAAAATAATTCTAGTTTCTTTTTTTTTAATTTTAAGCTTACTTCTGCATTGATCTGTAATACTTAATTATACCAGTATTTCCTTGTTAATATCGACAATAATGTAATTTGCTTTGTTGTAAGCAGTCGTCAGGCAGTTTTAAAAAGCCAAGGTCAAGTTCTACTAGAAGTAAAAGAAAAGGATGCAGATGCGGAAATGCCACTGCAATACCTGGAAAACTTACGTGTTGTGGTCAAAGATGTCCCTGTTATGTTGAAAGTAAACCTTGTGTGGAGTGTAGATGTAGAGGTTGCAGAAATCCTCATACAGCAGATGGATTAAAGGTATTGTTTCTACTTGATTAAAATTGTATATTTGAGATTCCACCTTGAGATGTCTTATATAATTCTTCCATATTTCAGATCCGTCCACATATACCTGAACTTCATAATTTACAATTACAACTGTCCACTTCTTTGGATTGCGACGCGCTAAGTGGAGATCCTCTAGGATCCGTGCCGCAATGTCTCTCGACGTCTCCTACAACGATACAAGTGTTAAATGTATATTCTACTCCGAGACTAGACATTGACAATGTACCACAGAATTTACCTGCCGCTTTGTTAGTGGGTGAAGATGCTATGGTAAGTACTGAAAGTGAAGCGGAAGATAGTGATATACAAATCGATGTGTGACAAAGTATTTAAATGGACATGGCAGAGGACTGTACCACACCAGTGATTATCAAAGTGTGACGAATGCGCGTCTGAACAGGGAAAGAACGCGTCATGTAAATAGCTCAATTAGAACCATTAAAACGAATAATTACAAGAATCAAAAACATAATTATGAATTTACGAAGGTAAATTAATTTAGAGAAATATATCGTATATAAAAAAATAATTTATGTATGGTTTACTATTCAAATATTTGTAAATATTTCAATATAACATAAAAAATGCAAATATTTAATTGGATGCTTAATCATAGCGAGTCAATTTTGCCTATAAAATTAATCACTTATGATTTAGCATCTATTATTTTGTTATATAATATGTTATATGCGTTAGCCCTTTTAAACTTATGCGAGCGCTCGTAATCTGAACATTGTTCGGTTAATTGTATAGTATAAAAGGCAAGATGATATATAAAAATATTTCTTCCATATTGATTGACTATGTATTATATGATGATTTTAATAATTTTAATGATGAATGTATTTTATTTATACACACAATGATGGCACAATTTTATATATTTTGAATACATATATGTGAGAATATATTTTTAGTTGATATACATTCTTAACGATAATTATCTGCTCATTCAATGATTTGAATTTATAATAAATTGTTTATTAACAACACAAAAACGAATATGAACCTAATTAGAATTAATTGGGTTGTTTAAAAAAGTTAAATTTACATATTCAAAAGTCGATGCATTTAATATTTACGCGTCAAAAAATATCTCGTTCAACTTGCCAGTTGTACATACAATGACAAAAAGATCGTTATCTATTTTGCATACTGATTTTTACAATCTCTAATAAAATGCAGAGTGAAACAGCAATCTGTTAAATTATATTACAATTTAGGATTGCATCGAAATAATAATAAATACTCTAAGTGAACAGCGTATATTAAGAAAGAATCGAAATAATAAACGCGAAGAATGAGAAGGTAATCTGAATATCTATACGTAATACGGATTGTAAAAATTGTTTATGTTATTTTATAACATAAGTCATAAATATATTTGGATAAAAATCGAATTTTTAGTTGCCTAAAGTTTGAAATTGAAAACCGTTTCAATAGCGTTACTATCAGGGTTGGTTTATCCGTAGGCACTATAAACATTGGCCTAGAACAGAAATTTTTTACAAAACTGTCTTTAAAGAAAAATATTACTAAAAATAAATAGAATTTTATTATATCATAATTCAAAAAGAAAATAAGTATTATGTATATTTAATAGGTTTTATTTTAAACTGAATATTCTTTTTTCTTCTAAAATATTAGCCACAATTTAGATTACGTCAATTAAAAAGAGGAGTGACATTTAAATAAATTAGCAAGCTAGCATATATATAGTTTCTCTCTTCTACAACAAAAATACATTTTTTTTCTTCTAATATATACATATACATACTTACACATATACACAAGTAGATATTTTTCCTTAAGTGGCACTATTTATGTGTCTATAGACGGCAAACGGTTAAACCGATCCTGGTTATTGTATATATTGTATAAAACTTATTTTTTATTATAGCAAATTTCGGAATATTCTATTTATACGAATATAATTGAACGTGTTAATTACTCATTAATGCATACGAAACATTAGTACAAAAACTAATTACTAAATATATGTAGAATACTTTTTATTTTTGCGTACGATTGTATGTGCATGTGGGCTCTCTAGAGCATCTATATGAATTCATGAATTGTTATTTGTAATCGCACTTAAATATTAATAGTATATATCTTTTTCTCTTTCTCAATCCTTTCGCAATAGTCAACAATAGGATACACTTTCACAGTATGTATACAACTGTGTGATCTCATAGCTGTCTGGTGGTAGTTTGCGAAAGTTCATCCATCGTGCAAAAAAAGAATCCACGAAGTAAATGCATATAAGCTAATTCTTCTTTAAATAAGAAGTAAAAAGATTGATATATAGCATACAATATGACATATACATCATATAAAAATAAGGCGATATACAATAAAAAGCTCACAACATAAGATAAAATTAATATATATCGTATTTTTATACCTATATAAAAGTTAATATTATCAAGTTACATGTTATTAAGTATCATTTTAATTCATATTAGTCCATAATTTTGAGAATTACACACAAATATACAAAATAAATTAAATCTTTCTGTTTGTTAATTTTGTCTTATGTAAAGCTAATAGAAAAAATTAGGGATATGTATGAATTATTTAAAAACCTATTTTTTAAATAAACTAGGAAGAATTACAAATTCTTTAAAACCAATTACATTAAATATCTCAATGCATTTTAATCAACATCGCACACTGATTACGACATTTCATATATATATATATGTACAATGTATATATATATATATATGTACAATATATATACATATGTACAATATATATATATATATATATATGTTAAATTAAGATAAAGATGGCAGTCGGGACCTAGTTTAAATAACATTCAGGCATAATTGAGGAGTAACTTCTAAAATATCAGACATGGATGATTATATAATCATCAATAAAAAGCATAATACTTATATTAAATAGATTATTATAATATAGATATATATACTTCACATTCCAACATTTAGTTGAAGCGCGATTTCTTATTTCTATTATGAGCAGAGTTACTACAGATCTGGAAAACCGGGAAAATGTAAAATTGAAATTTTGAACTTTGCTCACAATTTCCTTAAACTGCTCTCATTTAAAATAATTTTTATAATTTTTTAAACATTATATTTGATGTTTATAGTCAAATACGTTTAAAATTCGTACACTAAAAAAATTTAAAAAAAAATTAAAATTTATATTTTATTCAGTAATTTTATTTAATTGGCATTTTTAATAATATAAAACTTTCTTACAATCGTTGATTTTAAATGTTAAAAATTTTATATATTTTATTTTGGTTATGAAAATTTCTCATTTTTATCTGAAAAACCTGGAAAAGTCAGGGAATTTTAAAATTCATTTTCTGTGGCAACCCTGTATGAGGTACATGTCTGTTATGTTTCGAACAAAATTTATTGTAACATTTTTTATATAAACATTGTCGACGTTCGAAGTAAAATTATACAGCAAGCTAATTAAAAAGTTACTCCTCAAGTAGAAGATCAATTATTCATGATATTTAAGAACCAAACGAACTGTAAAATACAATTAATTCTCGGAAGGCGAATGTTTTATTTGAATGTAATGTCTTGTATGTATTATATATAGTGTTCGTTAACATCTTTTTTGTTATTCAACTATTAATGTAAGTACATTGTGGAATTAAAAGAGACGTTTTGTTTCAATTGTATAACTTGTCAGAGGATGTTAAAACTCAAAAAAAAAAAAGAAAACGCGAGTTGCATATTGTCATGACATATAGAATAGAATAAAAATATTTTACATACTAGAATTTGCATCATTTTGTAAAAAAAAAAAAAGAAAAAAGAAAAAGATACGAGACAAGAATATGTATCTATTTTATTTGTATATAAGTGACATGCGCATAAGAGTCCTGCGATATATGAAAACATATTTATAAAATCTTTTATTTGAAATAAACATTTTTGTATATATATTATATTTTAATAATACAACTGGGTACCATATAATATGGTGTATATTAAGATTGTAATGCAAATAATAGAATATAAGGATGGACATGTCATTATAAAAATATTTATACAGAGATGTAGTTTTATTTTGTTCTATCTTTTGTTAAAATATTATGAAGCGCTCTTCTGTGTTCGCCGATGACTTCATATAATTCTCCAAAAAATTGTTTGGCAGCTTGTTCTAAAAATGTTTTTCTTCTTATAACTGCATCTAATTTGTCTCGTGCCTCTTCTATTTCGAAGTCTACCGTTTGTGTATCTGGCATCATATCTTGCATTTCTTTAATTTCGTTTTTCAGGTTTTCTATACGTTTTATAAGCTTTGCTTTTTTCTTTTTTGCATCTGCCTTCATTTTATTAATGTGAGATATTTCCTCTTTCAATTTACTTTCATCTGGCAAAGATTTAATTTCTTCTTGCAATTTTTCCAATTTCGCGGCGTCAGAACGAATAAGAGACTCTGTCTCGTTGCATTGCTTCATCAATATTTCTTTGAATGTTTTTATTAAAGTGGCCTTCTCTTGCATTATATCCATTATCCGTGGATCCAACAATCCTTTTTCCGGGAGCTTTAATTCTTCGAAATTTACACCAACGTCGTTATCAATATGCATAAAGACTTCCTTATTATATGCTAATATTGCTTTATTGAGATTATTATTGAAAGTCGCAAATTTGATATCTAAAGAGTACAATTCCTTTTCGTAATCTTTCAAATGCTCATCAAATTGATGTATGTAGTTTTGAATTTCTGTACATTTTTTAATAATGTTTTCTTTTTCAATTTTAGACATTGGTTGATTTTTCACAATTGAGACTAATTCTTCGTATCGTATATTTCCTATCCGAATTTGTTCCTTTAAAACTTTACGTTCTGCATTTAATTGATCTGTCTCAGCGGAAACCTTCTTTATATAATCGCCCATGGTTTTAATATTGCTTGATTGTTGAGACTCCTTGGCACGCAAAGACGCTAATTTCTGTTGTAAATATTCCAATTGTTCGTCATGTTTCTGTGATTCTTCTTCATGCATTTGTAATTTTATTTCTTCTTGTTTCAATTCTTTTTGTGCTTGAGCTATATCATCATCAGTAATACCTTGTTGAACTAAAACATTCTGCAGATATCGTTCCAATAGTTCTGCTTCCTCATCGCGATTTTCGACAGTCCAAGCTTCATAACATTCCAACAGTGCTTGAAATTCCATTTTGTAACTTTGAGCCTGCTGCTCTGTTCCTATGAATGGCAATGTTTCCAGTTGATATTTATTGAACGCGATTTCTTTCACTTGGCATGCTTCTACCAACCAACCGATCCAACCGACAACATTGGACCACGAATGTGGTGCATTAGCAGTTATCAGCCACGATTTGATTTTGCCAGGATAATGTATCTTTTCTGCACATTTCGGTAATTCTTCTACATAATTTGCCATTGTGAGAGCATGTCTAACACCAAGATTCTTCAATAGGAAGCCAGAAACTTCCACAAACATCTTCAATG